GCGCACGGCCCCGTTCACCCGCACCAGCTGGTGCTCGAGGGCTGCTGGGGACACTGAGGCACAGGGTGGGGCCCCATGGGGAAAGGAGCCCTCCCAGCCTGGCCTCGCTGCTATGGAGGGACACACAAGCCGCAGTCACTGCTCCCTTGGCTGCCAGCAGCAGGGAAGTGCTACTGGGCTGAGCTCAGAGCAGTCACCCCCATGCCCGCCTGTCCCCAGGCACTGGTGCCCTGCCAGCTACAGCCACTGGGTCAGGTTCCGGTCACAGACAAACCTCCGCGAGGGCCGGGGCAGCGATGGCAACAGGCCTGCACTGCCGCAGCCAGGGGCCGTGACCTGCTCCACCCAGCTGGCACAAAAGTTTAAGAGACCCCCTGCCTCCTCCAGGAGCTGCAGGGTGCCCAGGCCAAGCTGCTGATTCCTTAGCTGGGGGAAGCTGGGGACCAAGCCCAGTGAGCAAAGGCAGATAAGCAGAGTGAAGGGAGCCGGGCACTCAGCTCTCCCTGCGCGGGTGCCGGGACCCAGTGCCAGCAGGCGGGCACCATACTCACCATCGCCCAGGAAGAGAACGATGTTCTTGGCACGGTGGGTGATGGGCACCAGGGTCAGTGCTGACTCCAGAGTCTTCCTGGCTCTCTCGTTCCAGTAGGCAGGGGACTTCTCATGCTCTGAAAGGCAGGGCAGTGTGGGTCAGGGCCTGGGCACAGCTACCCAGAGCAGGGGGCAGGCAGGCTGCGGGTGTTGCAGGAAGGGTGGAGACTATGGCAGGGGGCAGGACTTGCCATGCTCCATGGTGCTTGAGTGGGCACCAGCCGTGGCTCCCTGCATGGCCAAGCCCTGGCATGCCCCCTCCAAGCCCGGAGTGCAGATGCAGCCTGGTTTGGAACAGAATGGGGGTCTTCCCTTGGCTCACTGGGGCTCGTGGGTCAGGACACAGTCCCAAGTGTCCCAAGCCCTCTAAGCCAGCATCTCCCTGCTGAGAATCAGGCCCTGCCAGCCCAGCCCTGCCCCGGCAGTTAACCCAACATCTGCTGGCGACTGGCCCTGGGCCTGCAGGGTCCTCCTATAGCAAACCGAGCCTGGCAACCCCTCACTCAGGGACTGGATCACCAGCACGGCCCACCCAGCACTCTCACCCTGCTTCACACCACAGGCGACTGTGTGATCCCTGCGGCCTGCAGGGGGCGCCAGAGAGCGATGGGCCAAGTAGCGCGCAGCTGTGTGATCCCTGTGGCCTGTAGGGGGCGCCAGAGAGCGATGGGCCAAGTAGCGCGCAGCTGTGTGATCCCTGTGGCCTGTAGGGGGCGCCAGAGAGCGATGGGCCAAGTAGCGCGCAGCTGTGTGATCCCTGTGGCCTGTAGGGGGCGCCAGAGAGCGATGGGCCAAGTAGCGCGCAGCTGTGTGATCCCTGTGGCCTGTAGGGGGCGCCAGAGAGCGATGGGCCAAGTAGCGCGCAGCTGTGTGATCCCTGTGGCCTGTAGGGGGCGCCAGAGAGCGATGGGCCAAGTAGCGCGCAGCTGTGTGATCCCTGTGGCCTGTAGGGGGCGCCAGAGAGCGATGGGCCAAGTAGCGCGCAGCTGTGTGATCCCTGTGGCCTGTAGGGGGCGCCAGAGAGCGATGGGCCAAGTAGCGCGCAGCTGTGTGATCCCTGTGGCCTGTAGGGGGCGCCAGAGAGCGATGGGCCAAGTAGCGCGCAGCTGTGTGATCCCTGTGGCCTGTAGGGGGCGCCAGAGAGCGATGGGCCAAGTAGCGCGCAGCTGTGTGATCCCTGTGGCCTGTAGGGGGCGCCAGAGAGCGATGGGCCAAGTAGCGCGCAGCTGTGTGATCCCTGTGGCCTGTAGGGGGCGCCAGAGAGCGATGGGCCAAGTAGCGCGCAGCTGTGTGATCCCTGTGGCCTGTAGGGGGCGCCAGAGAGCGATGGGCCAAGTAGCGCGCAGCTGTGTGATCCCTGTGGCCTGTAGGGGGCGCCAGAGAGCGATGGGCCAAGTAGCGCGCAGCTGTGTGATCCCTGTGGCCTGTAGGGGGCGCCAGAGAGCGATGGGCCAAGTAGCGCGCAGCTGTGTGATCCCTGTGGCCTGTAGGGGGCGCCAGAGAGCGATGGGCCAAGTAGCGCGCAGCTGTGTGATCCCTGTGGCCTGTAGGGGGCGCCAGAGAGCGATGGGCCAAGTAGCGCGCAGCTGTGTGATCCCTGTGGCCTGTAGGGGGCGCCAGAGAGCGATGGGCCAAGTAGCGCGCAGCTGTGTGATCCCTGTGGCCTGTAGGGGGCGCCAGAGAGCGATGGGCCAAGTAGCGCGCAGCTGTGTGATCCCTGTGGCCTGCAGGGGGCGCCAGAGATCAATGGCCCAAGCAGCGCACAGCTATGTACTAAAGGTGGCTCATGTGCCACTGGTTCCGGGTTGCTGAGTTTGGGGGGGTCCAGGCTGCCCAGCATGCGGGGCTAGTGCTGCTGGCCCGACCTGTGTGACACGAGTGGGTTGGAGCTGCCGGCTGGGTCTGGGGGCTGGGCAGCTGTGCACAAAGGGGTTGGAGCTGGGGCAGCCAGCCGGCCCTGCAAGCTCCAGAGTCCATGGCAGCCACATGGCGAGGGTCTGGGACTCCTGCTCGGCCCCAACAGGTCAGTCACACAGTGGGGTCAGGGCCACCCTGTGCAATATGAGGGCTCCTCCGCTGTCTCCCTGCAGGGGTATTTCCGAGGTAACTAACAGGTGCAAGCAGCTTGCTGCTAGGGACTGGGGACACTGGAGACCTGTTACTGGACAGCCCCCTCCTCTGATCATGGCACGAGCCAAGCGAGTCAAACCCCGGATCTTAAGAGCACGAGGGGCCCCTTGCCCTCTGTTCATCCGCAGACCTGCCCCTACAGCAGGTCCTGGAGGTCAAATGCCGCTCCCTTTCCCCAGCAGAAGATGGGCCCCCAAAAGCGATTCCCTCCCCCGCCTTGGCTCTCTCACAGCACCACGCAGCCTAGCAAGGAAAGGACTTGCAGCGGGCCCCCTCCCCAGGCTGTGGGGCAGGGGCTTCTGAGCACATTTCGATTACCTTTCCCAGTCACGCCTCTTGATACTGCCTCACACACAGGCGCAATGCGCTCCCAGAAAGTCCTGTCCTTGCCAGGGGCTTTCCCCTACAGCTCATGGCCTGGCCTTGCTTGGCTTTGGCACCTGGGCACTTAGCACGGCGGCTGTGTGCCCCCAGCACGAGCACATGGAGAGCAAATCGGCGCCATGGACTCCCCCCCCAAGCCCTCGCCCAAAGTAAAGCTTTTAACATCTGCCAGCCCAGTAGCTGCTTCAGGGACCTTTCTCTGTTCTCTCCAGTGTGGGGGTGGGGAACCTACCGCCCGGGGCCAGATCCTGCCCCCAGCTTACTTGAATCCGGTCCTTGAGGCTCAGGGCTTCCATCAGCCCTGTGGCCCCCCTCCCACTCAAAGCCCGCACCCCTACTCTGCTCCTGCGCCCTCCCTCCCACCCACACACTCAAGTCTGCTTCCCGGCAGCCCCCACCCACACACCGAACTCCTCATTTTGGCCTTACCCCAGCGTGTAGGAGGGGCAGAAAATCTACTAGCCTGGCCCCCCCCAGGCTCTGGCGTCTGACAGGAATGTGAGGGGGTTTCCTCGTTTTCGGTTTTGCTTTTCACTTTTCTGCGGCCCCCAACTCCCAAAAGGTCCCCGCCCCACTCTAGCGCGACCAGCACCCGCCCGTCTGCCCACGCCCCAGAGGGTCCCGCTCGGGCCCATCGCTGAGCCAAAGAGACGCTCGTTAGCTGCAGGGTTTGCTTCTCACCTACGTCTGACAGGAATGTGAGGGGGTTTCCTCGTTTTCGGTTTTGCTTTTCACTTTTCTGCGGCCCCCAACTCCCAAAAGGTCCCCGCCCCACTCTAGCGCGACCAGCACCCGCCCGTCTGCCCACGCCCCAGAGGGTCCCGCTCGGGCCCATCGCTGAGCCAAAGAGACGCTCGTTAGCTGCAGGGTTTGCTTCTCACCTAAGGCGGCGGGTGCAGCAGAGAGCCGGGCTGCGAGGCAGATGCAGAAGCAGAGTCCAGCGGCGGGCACGGGGTGGACCGGGCCCATTTTGCCGGGG